CTCTGCCTCATGCAAAAAAACAAGAGCAAGTCTATTGGTGAGACTCAAGTGTGCATGCATGCAGTGGAGAAACAAGCTGGAAAATTTGATTGCAGCATGTATTCTTAAGGTATTCTTCAGCAGACTAACACACATCCCCGTTTGATGTTACAGAGGATACAGTGGAGATTGTGATGACCAAGAAGAGGTAAGCAAGGAGGGCAGACTTGTGATGTTACAGCACAAATAAAGTGGAAATCTCAGCAGTCATTGCCATTATTCTTTCTAAATCTTCAACGTTTGATTGACACCACACCGACACCATCTCTGTATTCCAGCACATCCATATTTCACATCTCCCTTAATAATTTCCACCTCAGCGCATTAGCGGACTGAAAACACTGCTGAAAGCATTTCTCTGCTCTTAAGAATACTTTATGTGCATCCTACAGATCAATACCATCTCTAATCCAAGTTTGATATCTTCCACACAGCGAGTCAGCCAATCTGAAGCCGGATAAAACTGATAAGACCCTCATCCCCAGAGAGAACATGTCCCTGCCTTCAAACATGCAGCTCAACGACCTCAGCACTTTAAAGAAAGGTACATTTACCACAGTTTAACCGCAGCACAGAATCTGACCGTACAAACAGTTTAACAATAAATCACTCACTTATATCTTTGAGTGTCCGATAATCAGGTGCAAAAACCTTTTGACGGAAGAAGCAGGACAACGTTATCTGACAATCTTGGTGTAAAATGTGTTCTCCAAGATCTTGTTAAGAGCAATCAGTCTGTCATTTCTTGATCATTTGGAATTCTGGGCATCCATTCGGGCACTACTTAGATTAGATCCATGCTTTTTTATTCAGAAATGAGCCGCCCCGTTGTGGTTATGTTCTTCTATTAAAATCAATTAGATCACAAAGAGGGAAAATAATTATTTAGTAATGCACAGGATTTACACCATTTCAAAACTGGATAATGAATGATAATGATCCCAGAAAGTTTACTGTGAAAGTACCTGATGTCATATTTTTAAATACATTTAATTCTGTAAGGAGATTACATGAAGGTGAGAGGGAACAAGAGTTGCTTTAGATGCTAAACAGTTTGGCCGTCCGACTGCGGTCTGGGGCCTCCCTGCTGCTGCGGAGTCGGGGCGGTCTGCCTCTCCCCACCGCAGGGAAAAGGGTAACACCACCTGGGTCTGGGTGCAGTTCCCCCCTCCAGGGGCAAGGGTACCTAGACCCAGTTCGTAGAGTACGCTTGGGGAGTGTGATCGTGTATACAGCGTCCCTTTATGTCTGTCTCCACGTCGGTTGAGTGTGAAGTGCATATGAGAGCATGAGGGTGGGAATGGATGTTTGTGTCTGTGTGTGCCTGTATGTCTGTGTCTATATGTCAGGTTGGGTATCAGACGCCACCTCTCTGGGGACATCTCAGGCCCTCCAAGGTTTGGAGGCCTATCTCCACCCACCACCACTTCCCCTGCCGGTGGCGGACTCCCTCAGGTATCGGTGCGTTGGTGGTTCTTTGTATCTGGGGGTGGGCGCTCGCTCGGGCCACTTCGGAGGTGGGGTGCCCCGGCCTCTCGGCCTGGGGCTCGGTCACTCAGGCACAGCTGGCTGCCGGCAGAGCTCACGGGCGCGTCACTGCAACTCCCCCTGGCTTCTGCTCCGCGGCTGCTGAATGAGCCCTCATCTGGGACTCTCCTTAGCTCTTACTGGGACAGTGGCGCGGCTGCCCCTCTGTGGGTCTTCCTTGGTCTCTTGTGTTCTGGGGGCCTCTGGATGTCTGGAGTTTTGATCTCCTCCATACCTGCTTGATACCATAGAGGACAGGGCTGTGGCTCCCCACACTCTCTAGCAGATCATTACATGGAGAAACCTTTGGAATGCAAGCATGCTGATCCACACAGGTATGCACACAGGTGTACACACGGGTATTCACAGATGCGGACTACAGCTTTCTTGGCTGCTGCCTCAAAGCACACTGTGCGCTGTCTATCTTGCGTGCTGCACAATATCGTTTATTATTTAGTAACTATTGATATCTATGACTAGCTAGTTTATTGTTATGGTGCTTTTTTTTTTTTCTATTATTATGTTGCTCTTTGTTGTTTGCTGTCTCCCCTGTTTTTTTTGTTTTTCTTTCTCTCCATACAGGTGACCCAGGAGTTTTTTGTTGTTTGTTTTTTTTCTCTCTTCCCCCCTTCTCACCGTCTCTTCTCCCCTTTGGTTTTCTTTCTTTCTCTCCCCCTCTTTCTTTCATTCTTTCCCCCTGTCCTAAAAAAAAAAAAAAAAAAAAAAAAAAAAAAGGATGACAAAGGATGAACTGAAGCTCCGCCATCACGTGATGTCACATGCTGCTGTTTCTGATGTCACTTCCAAAAAAAAAGAAAAAAAAAAAAAAAAAAAAAAAAAAGAAGATGCTAAACAGTTTTTGGGAACTTGTTTGCTTTTTTGCTCACAGTTAGAGAAAGGATTACAACCAGACTTTACTTCTGAGATGTGTCTATTGAAACCTGTTTCTCTGGGTTTCCAGTCAGTCTGGTTCTTCGCCAGAACAATCACCTGCTTATCTGTCAGTAAAGCAAACAGAAGGTCAAGAAAAACGTTAGTGAATCAATATCTTTACCTAGACTTATCTGTCTTAACTTTTTTTGTTTTGTTTTTATCTAGAGTGCGCACACACACAGAGATGCAAATTTAATTGAATTCTTTGTAAGTTATTTTTCAGTTTGGCAAGTTATTTTGATTATTTTATTTTATTATTTATTATTTATGTCGTGTGGTAGCTAAACCTAGCTTAGCTTAACATAAATTTAGCTTAGCATACACTGTGATTGGTTAGGAAGTACTGCAGCACATCAGCCCCCTCCAAGAAATGCATTGTTACATGTTTGGTTTTTACAGACTGCTTTTAATAGGTTAAATAAATAGTTGATAGTATGTTAATTTGTAAGCTTCAATGGAATGTTTTAGCATTTTAGCCATTTTACTTGTATTTCTGATTCCGTTTAGCCTGTTAGCTACAGCAAGTATCTAGCTGGGTGTGACAGTTGTATCAGTTTCTATCCATCCTTCTAACCACTTCCTGGAGCCTATCCCAAATGTTACTGTAATGTTACTGTAATGTGAATACACTTTAACTTGATTTTAAAAATCTCACCACAGCTTCCCCACCAAAAAAAAGGATAACATCTTACATACTACTGCATCCTCCATCTTTCCTGTATCACTTTTTGTAGCCCGAGAGGCCGCCCAGCAGAACAGTGTGGGAGAGGAGAAGAAAGAGGAAGAGGAGGAGGAAGATCTATCTTTAGCCTATGCTGCCAGAGGTCAGGGAAATACTCCTGATCCTGTTGAGTTTTTTCTCCACTTTTTAAAATACTTTAACACAAGTTTTTGTATCAAGGAACATTAGCGTTCTTCCTTTCCCCCCTAATGTTTCCAGGTTTTGCCAGATATCCGATGGTGGGCTACATCTATAAGGTGAACAGCACAAGCAGCGAGGAGATCTGGCTCTGACGTCCCTGAATGTAACACACATACTGTACATGCATGCTACTTAAAAACAGTCCAGCCATCCCGAAGGAAACCCAGAGCAACTGCCACTCAACCAACAACTCAGGCTGGGCTGACACGAACAGGATCCAGGATCTTGTTGGTGGAGTTTAACACCATTCTGCTGACCGCATCGACATGATCACAAGTTTCATAACCACACAAGGAAACTGTCTGTGTGTTTGTTACCAAGTGCTCGGTATTTACACTGCTGACATGTTGTCTCAACAGTATGAACTGCAAATGAAGCGCTCATCCTACAGTTTGTTTCGACATGATCTCCTGTAAACATACTCATAATGTCCCTCCTCTGTGTTGCATTACTGGAATGCATTAAATGTTCTATGCTAACACTGATACCTGAATAAAATGGTGCATAATTATAGAATACGTATTTGGTCATGGAAATGTTAAGATGCAATGTACTGTATATTTGTATGCATATGTATATGTGTATAAAAGAAGATGTCTAATAAAGATAATATGGAGACTGTGTGGAGGCAAAAGCTGGAAAATGCTGTGGTTGCAATCAACACTCACCAGGGGGCGCTGCAGAGCGGTTTACGATGAGAGTCGTGTGTTGTTGGCATTGTTCTAGCAATAAGTGTTGTGTGATGGAGAAGGCACTGTTGCATTTGGGGGAAACGTAATTGGGTACTCTATAGCTGTAGCAGGTGCAGGAGAAGAATAATCTAGCTCTTTAGGTTTAACCGTGTGTGTGTGTGCCAGGTGTTACCTCTGGGTCACAGGTTCCTGTGGCTTTTCATCAAACAGGAAGTCGAGTTGTGTTGTGGGAGCATCTATTTGCTTTCTCTCTGTTTTTCTTCTGCTCTGTACAGTAAATGCAGTCTGTCACACACATAGTGGGAAAAGAAAACATTCATAACACACGGGGGAATTAAAATATTCATCTGAACACACATGCTTGTGTTTGTGCCTTCGTTTTACCAGATGGAGCTGCTCACCACCACCGGCACGAACATATCCCAGAGCAAGCGTACACCAAGCAGCAATTACTGTCAACAGGCTGATCAGTCATTCCCATAAGGCGGAATTTTCTTCTCTGGTTGTTGTTCATGTGTTTTGTAAGATGTGAAAGCTGCCATGACAAAAAAATCACGTGGGTAGGGGAAAAAAAGGAGTTTCGATACCCACAACATTTTAATCTTATTACATATACAACAAACATGAAGTTTAGTGATCAAACAGGAAATGAGTGAACAGTTCAGTGAGGCTTTAGTGTTGAAACTGCACAAACTGATTTTTGTTGTGACAAGTTCAAAATACTCAACTGCAACTTAAAATGTTGCTTGTGTTGGTGAGAGTGTAATAAACATTATTAGCTAAGTGCATCTGAACATGTCAAAGTCACAGTCAGGCTCCTCCAGATGTAGGAATCAACAAAGCCTGCTGAGACAGAAGATAAACCAATCACATTCACTTCCGTTTCATGCACATGCACAGAGAGACTGAGACACTCTGACAGACAGAGACTGGATGCTCGGTGGCTGAGACCCACAGTTCTTCATTTTGTGGTCAGTGCTTTTATTTAAAAGTTGAAATTATGTTGTGTTGATATTAAGTGTTGATATTGTTATTTCATTTAGAATGAATAATGTGTAAAGCTTGAATTTTAGGAATAAAACAAATTAAACCTGGTTTCAGAGTTTGTATTGTTGGCTAACTAAAATGATTTCCTCATAATAGCACCCTAAATGTTGTATTTCATCATCTATTATCTGTCTCTGTAAGTCCAATAAATGGTTGACATGAAGTAGAAAATGGCGTACTTCCTGTTGCTCTGTAGTACGCTCGCTCTTACTTGCAGGGAACTGAACTGTTTCCTTCTATCAGCAGCAGAACTCACAGGAACAATGAAGAATCGCTTTGCTTTGGCCTCCTGTTTGCTGCTGCTTTGGACCTTCACAGGTAGGCCCGCTACACCATTTTATCCCACACCAACATAAGATAAGATAAGACTTGGGACTTTATTAGTCCCACACGTGGGAAATTTGTTTCATGTTGACATGAAATGAAAATCAATGTAGAAATCATAATTCAGTGATAAGCATTTAATGTTGACTTTGAATGTTTCAGAGTTGGATGTTTTTTTTTTTTAATTAACAGTGAATGTTTTCATTTTTCTCCCCACATTTGTCTTGCAGTGTTTGTCAGCTGTCAGGACAAAAAAGATGGTAAGAAGATTAATTGAATCTTTAGATGGGGCTATGTAGTATTATAGCAAATATGTGGTAATTTACAAATAGCAGTTAAGTAACAGAAGCTGCTGCATATCTAAACAGGCTTGCACTTTTTTAATATTTCTGTTTTCTCAAGGCCCAGTTGAGTTAAAGGTGAAAGAGGTCGCCGATGGAATTGAGCTGGCTTGTAGTGATCAATCAGATGTTACATCAAATACTAACACTGATATTAAGACAAAAAGTCTTCATTTGCCATACAGAGATAACAGCACAGGAGAATACAAATGTGGAGAAAATGAACTAATCTATGTGAAATTCCGCAGTAAGTTCTGTAGGAAAACTTGTTTTCATAATATGAAAAGAAAATGCTTAATTTTTTTATATTGTTTGTACACTTTTATCACTTACCTTTCAACTGTAATGTTGAGGAAAAAAATGTCAGCACCTGTATTCATACACAATGTGTGTTTGTGTGTGTGTTTCTCCAGCCTGTGACAGCTGTGTAGAAGTTGATACACCTTCCTTAATAAGCATGGTCGTAGGAAATGTGGTGGCTACCATTGTGGTAGGAGTGGGTGTCTATCTCATCGCTTCTCAGACCTCTCAGACTCGAACCGGCCCTGTCGTCTCTAACAAGAAGAGTAAAAGTAAAGACTATTTATCCATCTAAATAATATTTGTTTAGTTATGTGAAAACAAAGTTTTATTATGGAATACTTAAAATAACTAAAATAACAGATGGCACATTCCATGGGTATATTGAATAACTGGTACAGTTATTAGGTTTAACAAACAGGAGCAACATAGACTGACTCCAAAATTACTTAAAAAAAAAAAGGTTGTATACAGAAGTGTATGATAATGATAATATGATGATTTTCATATTATTATTTTTTAATTACAAATCAAATGTTTTGTGTTTTCACAGGAAACATCACTGTGAAAACATATTTATTATTTAAAGTAATTAACAAATATATATAACTGCAGGTATATTATTGCCTGCCATAGTGTTTAAAGAAGTATGAAAACACTGAATGATATACTACATGAAATAACTACTTTGCGAATTACTATCTATGAATTACTTTATAAATATACTGTTTTTGAGTGGGACAAAATTTGATATTGTACTTATATCATGAAACTTGCAACTAACAGTTATATTGACTGTCCTTTTTTGATCATTTTGCAGGATTTGGTTATTGTTTCTTTAGAACATTCATGAACAGTGGGAGTAAATCTGTTTTCCTTTGCAATAAATTTTGAATTATCCCTAAATAATTTTTGGATTCTCCAGGAGAAATAATTTTCACTTCCATGCTTTACCAGTTTTTCTTTTTTACTTTCCACATAAAACTAAGTTTTAAAACGAGTCGTTGCTGTAGTTTTGACACACTTTCCTAAATCTTTACCATTATTTTTTTTCCAATGTAGCGTCGTCTTCTCTAATTATTTGCAAGAATCATTTCTTTTAGGTGATGTTGTGTTGATCTTTTAATCAGTTCACATAATCTTGGTCATATTCATCCAGTAGGTAGAAGACAATGGGCATAAGAAAATCAGTTATAATTAATGACTCAAAATCAAATCAAAAAGAGTTAAAAATCATAATCCCTTAAATAACGACTACAAACACTTAAAAAATGTTATTATTATTATTATTACCAGTATTACCGATAATAAAAACACTCAGCAACCGATTCCGATTAGGCTTTGCTTTTGCAAAAATGTTATTTCATGTGTCCTCAGGCTCCGACAGACAGCATCTAGTTTCTGAAACCAGAGGACCGACCAATGACCACTATCAGGTAAGCTGAAACCTGAAAGTGACAATAACACTAAAAAAGAAAACAACAAATGACTTGTTTTCTCCAACAGCCTCTGAGGAGAGGTGGCCAGAAAGATACATATGATGAACTCGTCCACAGAAGATAAATGGAAGGAAGCTCACTGGTGTCCTTAGCTGGAAGCTTGAGAGTCCTCATAGATCCAACATCTGCTGGAGGGGAAAGTCTGGTACCTGTTTTCAGAAGTTACATCTAGCTAAGCTGTTCCCCATCCCCAATGCAGGGCTTTATTTTCAACATGCCTGTAAGATGATGCTTTAAAATCACTGTAATATAATATCAGAAATTATAATAACCTGGGTAGTATTGGAATAGCTATATTATACTTATTGATTATTAAGAAAAAAAAATTGACTGTCATGTTGCCCAATGAAAACTCAGTGAATAAAATTAGCTACGCTGTCTTGTCATGCTATCGTGAGTGGTGAAAATCTCTCAAGCTACTTTTCTTTGTACAGTTCTGAAGTAATTGCAAGATTAAGATTAGGATTAATATGCTGTATTGTAGTAGCATTGTGTCAATAATGCATTTATGATACGATCAGAAATGTCAATGTAATTGCTCTTTTTGTATGCTTTTGACTACAGTTAGAGAAGCTCTTGCCACATCCACGCACTTGTTGTTTATAGTTTGTAGTTTATCTCATTTGGCAAAAAAAAGACATCACTCAATAAAAAATGTGACAGAATAATTTGACTAATGGTATCACTGTTATTAATTGTATTTTTTTTTTTAAATTTCCAAATCAAAAATCTAGACCTCATACAGCTGTAGAAAGCATATATTCAGATAAATACTTGTAAATGTTAAAAATACGTACAGAGATTTATAAAATAAACAAAGCACTGTTAGATGTTAAACCAGTTGTTTGTGGATTTTATTTCAGTGACAATTTTTTAAGCCTAAACAGACCTATTTTATTGTATGTTTTTAAGTATGCTGCATGCACCAGTGCTACATGCCAAATCAATTATAATTTTAAAAATGTGCAGGCATCACAAAACACTAACTTAACGATATTACAAATCACAAAAGCACTAAAAAAAAGCAGCACTAAATGAAAACAAATGGTGTTATATTTCATTGAGATAAAAACAAATTAACATTAAAAAGGAGCACCTCATTTTTGACTGCATGACATCCTTAAAGTCTTGTTCTCAGTCAAAATCTTCTATGCGTTACACGCACTGGGAATTTCATAATTTGAAGTGTTTTTTTCCAAAACTATTCCCCGTTCCTGGGAGAGGAACTCCCAGCTCATCTGAGAAGTTTGAGTATGTCAGCTTTGATAGATCAGTTTAAGAACCATATAGCTAATGAAATAATTATTTTCTAACCCATTACCTTATGATATATTTAACGTCATTCTTGAAAACATGATACCACTTGCTACTGAGAGATTACACAATAACTGTGCCTTTATAAGGCCACAGAGTGGATGACAAGAGCGAAGCTGTTAAAATAATGAAACAATAGCAACTAGCCCAGCACAGACGTTTTAGTATTTATCCAGTGATAGTCCACTTTTCAAATTATTTCAGACAAATATATAACGATTCCAGCAAGACAACAAAATACAACAAAATGAGCAGAAACTGAGTTCTCTATATTATTACTATTATTTATGCTATTCTCATTATTATTATTAGCAACAGTAGTAGTAGTATTTTCAGTAGCAGAGATCAAATCACACTTTTGATAGAATAGAATAGAATAGAATTCAACTTTATTGTCATTGCACATGTCACAAGTACAAGGCAACGAAAAGCAGTTTGCATCCATCCAGAAAGTGCTTTAGCCACAATATAGATATATTACAAAATATATATTAGCAATAATATAGATATATAGATATATTACAGAAATGGGTCCGTTATAGGTATGAGGGTACAAAATATGGGTCTATTATGGGTATTTTACAATGTACACGGTATGAAGGTATGTTATGAATATGCTGTAACTATAAGTATGTACAGGCAGTAGTGAGTGTACAAGCTATGTACAGGCTATGAACAGGATATAAATATGAAAACTATACAGAAATATGAACTATGCAAATTATAAACAGTTGTAAACAGTTGTAGAATTATAGTTATCATATTGTACAGAATGATTGTCTATACAACATTTACAGTAGTGCAGTTAAGATAAGTGAAATATGTGGATAACCTCTACAGAGGCTATATAAAGTGCTAGAGGTTGGGAGTGGTGGTTGATTCCATGTTATTATTGTGTGTATGAGGGTACAGTTGTCCATTTGTTTGTTTTTGTCCATTGTGTTGTGTTCAGTTATAGGTGGTTGTGGGTGTGTTTATGTTCAGTCCACGAGTTTAATGTGGGTAGGATGTCAGGAGGCATCATATTGTATGTTATGCTTTGTTTACAATCCCCCCCCCCCCCCCCATCCCCCAACGAGTCACATTTATGTAAGGATGACTTATAAATTGCTATAATCAAATATAAAACTGTTCCTCTAAAATACTTTATGAATTAATAAAATAAACTTGAGTTGAAAAGCTTGAGTACCACAGAGGTAGACTTGCTAGTTGGAGAGCCTCTTTCTTCACAACCTGAGTGTCTAGATATGATAGTGGCAGTGCTGCTATAGTAACAAAAAGCCCTTAACGTTGCTGTCATGCTACTTTTGCTTGTTGAAAAGACTTCTTATATTCATGTAATAATAAACTACTCTGAATGTGAAAAAATATGTATGTTCTCACTCCTTCTTCCTCTCTCTGTAAATGTGCATGTAACAAGCAATGAAATGGAAGTGCCAAAAACCAGTTAACAAGGCAGTCTCCAAACACAAGTCAAACCCCACACTCATATTAAAATATACAACTTAGTGTTAAAGCTGATATCTGTAATATATCATATAATACGTGCTTTTGGGGATTTTGTTAAGCTGTATAGTTATGGGCGTGACTGCTTAGGTTGACTGTTGTGCAGACACTGAGATCTGTCTCCTGACCTATACTAATTTGAGTCACTGCACCTACTTTGGCTGTTGGAGCCTTATTCAGAATCAGAATCAGAATACTTTATTGATCCCTGGGGGAAATTATTTTTTGTTACAGTGCTCCATTATAAACCAACATTAAGACAAGACAGACAATACGCTAACTAAGAATAGTACAATATATACATATATATACATACATACATACATACATAAGTCACTCATAAATAAATATTTGGAAAAGAAACATGTGTAGTTGTAGCAGCAAACAGTGTGTTAAGTGGATGCGTTGTACAGGGAGATGGCCACAGGCAGGAATGATTTCCTGTGTCGTTCAGTGGTGCTTTTCGGTAATCTCAGTCTCTCACTGAACGAGCTCCTGTGACTGACCAACATGTCATGGAGTGGGTGGGAGGTGTTATCCAACATTGTCTTTATCTTGGACAGCATCCGCCTCTCCGACACCACCTTGAGGGAGTCCAGCTCCATCCCCACAACATTGCTGGCCTTACGGATCAGTTTATTGAGTCTGTTGGCATCTGCTGCCCTCAGCCTGCTCCCCCAGCATGCAACAGCATAGAGGATCACACTGACCACAACAGACTCATAGAAAATCCTCAGCATTTTCTGGCAGATGTTGAAGGACCTCAGTCGCCTCAAAAAATAGAGACGACTCTGGCCCTTCCTGTAAAGTGCTGTGGTGTTTTTAGCCCAGTCCAGTTTATTGTCAATGTGTACTCCAAGGTATTTATAGTCCTCCACAATGTCAACACTGACCCCCTGGATTGAAACAGGGGTCAAGTGTTTCCTGGTCTTCCTGAAGTCCACGATCAGTTCCTTGGTCTTTGCCACGTTGAGCTGCAGATGATTCTGCTCACACCACGTGACAAAGGAGTCGACCACAGCCCGGTACTCTGTCTCATCATCCCTGCTGATGCATCCAACCACCGCAGAGTCATCAGAAAACTTCTGAAGATGGCAGGTCTCTGTGCAGTGGCTGAAGTCTGTGGTGTAGAGGGTGAAGAGGAAGGGGGAGAGGACAGTCCCCTGTGGTGCCCCTGTGTTGCTAATCACCTTGTCAGACACACACTGTGGGAGACGTACATATTGTGGTCTTCCTGTCAGATAATCAACAATCCAGGACACCAGAGAAGCATCCACCTGCATCGCTGCTAACTTATCACCCAGGAGGGTCGGCCTGATGGTGTTGAAAGCACTAGAAAAGTCAAAAAACATGACCCTCACAGTGCTCGCCGGCTGGTCCAGATGGGTGTAGACACGATTGAGCAGGTAGATGATGGCGTCCTCAGTTCCGAGACGAGGCTGATAAGCGAACTGAAGGGGATCCAGATGTGGTCTTACTATGGGTCGCAGCTGGTCCAGGATGAGCCTTTCCAGGGTCTTCATGATGTGAGAGGTCAGTGCCACAGGCCTGTAATCCTGGGGGCCACTGGGACGTGGCGTCTTTGGTACAGGGACGAGGCATGATGTCTTCCACATCACCGGGACCCTCTGCAGACTCAGACTCAGCATAAACAGTTTATGAAAGACTCCACAGAGCTGGGGGGCACAGGTCTTGAGGACAAGGGGACTCACTCCGTCTGGTCCAGCAGACTTGCCTGAGTGAAGTCTCCTCATTTGCATCCCAACCTGGTATTGAGTGAAGGTGATGGGTGGGGGAGGGGTGTCAGGACTCTCACAGGAGGCAACATGTGAAGAGAGAGGCTGGCACAGTGGTGTGGCTCTGGATTCCAGGCTGACTGCAGGTGAGGTTGTGGGGGTGGGAGCAGACACTGTGGTGTCAAATCTATTGAAAAACAGATTCAACTCGTCGGCTCTATTCTCACCTCCCTCAGCTCCCCTGCTGTTGGTTGGCCTGAATCCAGTGATGGTCTTCATGCCCCTCCACACCTCTCTCATGCTGTTCTGCTGGAGTTTCCACTCCAGCTTCCTCCTGTAATTGTCCTTAGCCTCTCTGATCTTGTCCTTTAGTAACACCTGGACCTTCCTCACCTCCTCTTTGTTGCCCCCTCTGAAAGCCCTCTTCTTGTTGTTGAGGAGGGCTTTGATGTCCTTAGTCACCCACGGCTTGTTATTTGGGTAACAATGAACAGTCTGACCTGGAACAATGGAGTCGGTGCAGAAAGTTATGTAGTCTGTGATACATTCAGTAAGCCCATTGATGTCCTCGGCGTGAGGCTCACAGAGTGTTTCCCAGTCGGTCACCTCGAAATAGCCCTGTAGTTCTGCTAAGGCCTCCTCTGACCACCTCCTAACAGTCCTGGTGGTCACAGGTTCCCTCCTCACAATTGGCACATAGCGGGGGGTGAGGTGAATCAGGTTATGATCTGACCTACCAAGTGGGGGGAGGGAGGAGGAGCTGTATGCATCCTTGACGTTAGCATACAGTAAGTCTAAAGTTTTCTCTCCCCTGGTGGGACAGTCCACATATTGTTTGAATGTTGGTAGTGTATTGTCCAGTGATACATGGTTGAAGTCACCCGAGATCACAATAAAGGCACTCGGGTGCTGAGTCTGTAGCCGAGCTATGGCAGAGTGGATAGTGTCACATGCAGCTGTGGGGTTAGCAGAGGGAGGAACATAAACAGCCACCAAGATGACGTGAGAGAATTCCCTGGGTAAATAATACGGCCTGAGTCCAACAGCACACAGTTCAGTGTCCGGGCAACAAATCCTTTCTTTGAATGTTATGTTGGCAGGGTTACACCACCGCTTG